AGTCTGTCTATGCGCTGTTCGTGTACGGCTGGGTCTACCTCTGGCTCTGCGGGCTTGCGGCCACGCTGCTGGGAGGAGGCGGAGCGAGCCATGGGAGCGGGCGAGTTGGCCCAGGTGGATGGTGCAGAGTGGTGATCTTGATTGTCGGCCTGTGCAGCAGCGCGGAGGAGTTCCTCGTCGTGGGAGTCGTCGTCATCCTCGTGGTGGTCGTGGGTGCCGTTGGCTTGTTTTGAGTTGGAAGCGGTCATGTTGGAGCTGTGAGGGCCAAGGCTTTGCGGAAAGCGTGCGGTACGAAGTGCGGAAGTGAAAGTGCGGCAGTGCGGAAGTGAAAGAGGTTGAGTGCGGGTGCGGGTGGCGCGTGCGGGAGAAATGTGCCGAGTCAAAAGAGCGGGCTTCGACAGCACACACGGCGCTCTGTGCTCAGTGGCTTGTGAGCGAGCGAGTGGGGATGGTGTGGTGGCTTTCTTGGTGGATACGAGGCGACTCCACGAGCGCTTTGGGCGAGATGCTTGTGTAATTTCCCACTCTTCTCACTTTCTCCTCTGCCCCACAGCGGCGCCAAAATGAATTGTCTTCGAGATATGCATTCATTCCACCTTCCACCTTCCGAATCGGCCGCGCGCCTCGCTGCTTTACGCGTCAGGCGTCCCAACACAAAAAAGCTGACTTTGTTAGGTCGCAATATTATCCACATTCGACATTTTTATTCGACGAAACGCCGGCGAGACGCAGCCGCAGCAGCAGCCGCCATGAGTTTTTGGATTGGAATCGCCACAAAAAGCGGGCAGCTGTCAACGCGATGCTCGTTGGCTGTCAAGCGCCTACTCCATCCTCTTGGTGGCGGAGGGCGACGGGCGAGGCGCGAGGGCGGCGGCATCACCATGCGACGCCACCGCCCGCTCGCAGCTGCCAGCCTCCTCATCACGTCGCCTATCGTAGCCGCAAGCTGTCAGCTCGTTCATCCTTAAAATCCTCGGTTTCGCATGTAGTGTACGCCACTTTTTCGGGTGTCAATGCAGTGCATGCGAGTCTCGCTTTCTGCCATTGTTCTCGCTTGCCGCTGTTTTTGTTCCCGACCAGCGCAGCGAGGCGCTCCACGCTTGGACCCTCGAGTCGGCAGACATCGCGCTCGGGTCGTCGGTCGGCGTTTGACTCCGAACAATAGCACCACCCCACCCGCTAAAGTCGGAAGCGCGGTAGGCGCCCTTCATGCTCACACGCTCCCGCTGGCTCCCCTTTGTCTGGCTGCAGAAACGCTTCCCGAAACTTTTCCAGCCCAGCAGCAGCGCGCAAAAGGTCGCCTGATCCCTTGCCACCCGTAGCACTGAGACGTGGAATGCCAAGGTCTCATCGAATGCAACTTCGCTCGGTCCTGCTGTAGCACGGATGGAAGCGGCCGTAGCACAAGTGCCTCTAGATCCCAAGACTCGTATAAAGAGCCCCACCACCCTCGCACTTCTTGTCATCCCGCTTGTCATCCCTTCCTCTCCTCCAACACTCCTCACTTTCTTCTTGGGAGTTGAAGTCGCCACGATGGACGCCACAGCGCTGCTCGATCTTCCCGCGGTGGTGCCTTCACTGCTTCGGCCCATCACGGCCGCCTCCATGACCTTTCTGCATCGCAACCAGACCGAGGACCAGCTGCTCGTTGCCCTCGCGCACGCCATCTACCAACCGCTCCCCTCCAACCTGCGCATCTACGTGCTCGCCGCCGAATTCGTCGTGCTCTTCATCGTGCTCGTGTGCGCCGTGATGATGTTCGAGAAACGCAGCTTTGGCGGTCTGTGGATCTTTATCGCGCGGCCCACCAGCTTCGGCACGGTGTACGTCGCCAACGCCGTGTTTCTGCTCGTCGCTGCGGTGGTGGTGTACATGTTGGCATATCAGGGCATCGCTCTCACCGTCGCTGCGTTCATCATGGCGCAGCGAAGCACGCTCGAGTATTGGTGGGTGATTCCGCTGCCCTGGTACCCGCTCGTAGCGGGCGGCTGGACCAGCATCCACGGCTTCGTGCTCGGCGTTAGCCCCAAGTCGCCGTTCTCGTCGCATCAGTCCACCAAGGCAGGCTGGTGGTATCTGCCGGTTCCCAAACAAGCCTGGATCGTCAACTCGCTCCTCGTCGTCCCCCTGGCTGCGTTTTCAGTGACAACGCTCACGTTCGTCGGTTTGGGAGCTGCACAGTGTTTCCGCGCCAAACACCTTGCTCAGGACATCCTTCCTGCTGCACTGCACAGCCAGCTGAAAAAGGCGGCATTCGACCCCATTCACTTTGCGCACAGCAACGCTCTTGCATCCGACGACCTCATTTGGAAGGCGCGCACGGTGGCTGCGGCGTACTTCAACAGCTACCGCTATAGCTGCCTCAACCTCGCCGTCTTTGCCGGTTTCGCCGTACTCATCTTCATCCCTGTGCTGGTCTACGGCCTGCCTAACCTCGTCAGCCTCGTCGACAATGCCTGTCGTCGCTCCTCGACCCCGCTTCCCACGGGTTGCAAAACCTACTTTTCCAAAGTCTGGTTCTTGCTCACCAAGGGTAAGCCGGGATATGCATCCAACATGAACACGTGGAAGATGACCTTCCTGGCGCACATCTATGTGATTCTGCTCGCCATCTGCGTGCCCGCCTACGGTGCTTTGCCCATCTACTTTATCGCGGCCAGCTTTGGCAACGTGCACAAGGGGAATGTGATGCAGCAGATCAAGGCGCTCGAGTTCGCTGCCAGCATCTTGACCGTGCTGTCAGGCACCATCTTTGCCGCATTCTGCACCGCCGCCACCATCGACCCGCTCTTCAGGGCCGCGATTGGTCTGAGCATCACGAGGGCAAGAAGCGCCAGCACCGATGGGGAAATCAACATCACCGTCGTCCAGTACCAAACGAGGCAGAGAGCGAGCACTGCACAGTCGATCGTGGATAAGGATCTGGAGGCAACGTGCGCTAGCCCCCACTCTACCAACGGCTCGTTTCAAAGCTTGCAGGCCAAGTCGGACGCGTCGTTGGCTGCAAGCACCGCGGCATTGATCACGCCCGTCATCGAGGTGGATCTGCGCCATTCTCAACGCTAGCACAAGCCCAAAAATGACGTTTGAATGGCCTCTTTGCTGTATACCCTCACGCTCTCTTTACGTTGTATCTCCTCATGCTTCTCTTTACGATGTATCTT